GTAAACAAATACAAAGCGAAAATGACGAATGACTGAGCTCAAGTTTACGGAACTCTGCGAATTGTTGGCGCACGTGTCACGCAAACTATAAGCATTTCTACTGTATTTATTGTTCTGTGGTTCTTATATTAAAATGTAAATGCTTGTATGTAATGTAAATGTAAATTGTTAAATTTTATTCCCTGCCTTATTTTATAGACGAGAATCATTTGATATTAGTGTAGGTACTAACTTAATAAACGTCAAATATGACTTACCGAAAAACACCTTGTACTAGCGCGGCGGCAGTCAAACTATATGACCATACAAGCCGCATACGAGCGAGTTAATACGTAGTTCGTTCGTTGTGATGCTTTAAAAAGAGAAGTGGACTGTACGGAAAGGAATGTCTGGAGAAGGGTGAATCGGCAGGTAAAAGGAGTGCTATACAACTGAACTTTACTACATTGACCTTGTATGTAGGTTGGTTTCGTGCTCGTGTGTTGTCCTTAGCAGCGCTCTCCCTCAACTTCGAGCAGAGACCTCCTGTTAAGATGTCACCGACAAATGCGGTGGAACGCGTGGCAGTTCTGTTAGCGCAGTGGCGGTCAGATGATCAATTACAATGATCATCACTTGATTTATCACCGAACAGTGTTTAAGTATAGTACAATAACACAGTAAAACACAAGCGGTATTTCGCGGCGAAATATGACTATGCAGAGTGTGTTAAGTCTTTAAATATGGCGGTGAATCCACAGAGCTAAACGAGTGTCGATGGGTGGTTCAAAGTGGACGCACGTCACCCAGATCGGTAAATACAACTGTATGACTGTCTCAACTACCAGTCCCTATCTACTGACCTGAGAGATATGGTTTTCCGGAGAGACTATGGGCTCGACGGCAAGACCAGGGTACAGCGAGCGTCCGGGCCAAGCCCTTCGCCAGTGACTTGGGTATGGACTCGCTGGGGTTTGTGGTTAGCTGCAGAGACGGACATGTTTGTCTGCTTCAGTTTTGCATGTGTCCGGGTCGTCTGTCTCGTGAGCAGCTAAGCATCTTAGTAGCGGTATAATTGAGGGCCTGTATTCGAGGAGATGCGCGGGATACGTGAGTTGTCCTTTAAGTTGGAATCTATGTCCGGACATTGTCGCAGGACTCTGCGACTGGCATCTCCGGCACTAACCCGGAGAACTAGTAGAGCATAAGCTAGATATCCTCCGGTCCCTCCAGGCGCTTAGGTTATTGGGAACTGGAGAGACGTCGTTTTTCGGCGTCGGGAAGTGAGCGTGCCTTACAGCTCCGCCACCAATGAGGAGGTTTGGTAGTGAACCCGGTGTCTTAGCGGTGACAGCTGCTGGTTGTGCAATGCGCAATGGGAAGTGAGCGTACCTAGCTCCGGTACCTATCTGGAAAATAGTGAGGGTACTGTACGTGCACCGGGGCGGCTCACCAGAGGCACTAGCCTCTCGAAGAACCGGATGAAGTCAAGTAACTTAGGTCTGTAAGAACCCTGCACACTGGCTGATCTGGAGTCAGAACCTGAACTTATAATGTTCCTGTGCGCGCACAAGTTATAGTGTCCTTTTCGTATACCCTAAAGGTAGGTACGAGGATCACTATAATCAAAACTAACATAGAAAGATATAGTGCTTGTCCCAACTACGACCCGAGAGACAGGGTATTCCAGACAGACTACGTGCTCGCCGGCTAGACCAAGGTACCGCGGGCGTCCGGGCCAAGCCCTCCGCCAGTGATATGCCTTCACGGGCGTCTCTGGCGGACCCGGACTTGAGTATGGACTCGCTGGGGTTTGTGGTGAACTGCAGAGGCGGGTATGTTTGTCTGGCCCGATGGTATGTGGTCGGGGCGGCTGTCACGTGCACAGCTACTAGAGTACTTAGTAGCGATCTAGTTGAGGGCCTGAAGCGAGTCGACGCGCGGGATACGTGAGTTGCCCTTTAAGTTGGAAGCTATGTCCGGACATAATCGCAGGACACTGTTACCGGCCATCCTCTTCATTTTATCATACCATACCATCTTCTTCTAGTTAAAGATAGGAAATATAATCAAACAATTTCCCTTTGAATGGTTAAGCTTCAGTCCAGTAGGTTCTAATATGGTTAAGACGCAGATAGTCAGTATCGATTTCAGCCGATCGTCCAGTATTAAGAGACTTTATTGTCTAAGTGAACTTACTTTTAGTAGCAATAGAGCTCCTTGTGAAAGAGATCGTTCAAGGAAGTACTGTCACCTTACCTATTTCTGCTATGGACAGGTGTATCACTTACCGGCGCACGATTTGCTCGTTCCGTCACTTAGAATCATAAAAAACTTACCATGACCAAATTGAGGATGTCTTGCCAGCTCTTGAAGGCCAGTTCATGTAGCACACTTAACCGACGAGCTTGTATGAACGCCCTGATGTGTGTTGATAGATGTGTGTCAGGATCGTAACTAATGGTAGACTGTGGTCTCTGCCCGCCCCGGTGGAAAAAGAGCGTGAAGTGTATGTATGTCTATAATAATATTGTCTTTTTGATCGTCTGTTATATCAATTAGCATATTTTGGAGGGAAACTTATTAAAATATTGTTGTATAATAGTATCGGCTTCATTTCTACCCCAATGCCAATGGGTTCGTGCAATCACATCTGTCTCATATTAATACGAATTGAATATTACAAATGCAAACGGGTCAACGGCTTAATTAAAAATGGTGGCTTTCTGGTGCAATGATGCACATTAATTTCATTTTCTTTCAATACAGATATCGTTGACCTCTTTCAATTATTAATATTGAATATCGAAACCATTGTTCATTTTAATTAATATTTTACTGTTTGATTTTCACAATAAAAAAAAATAAATTAAATCACATTTCCAATGTGACACAGGACTGAATCGTTCTTATCACTGCACACGCGACATATAGTTCAATTTAAAACTTAAGTGCCGACTTGACTGTGTAACAACTCGACCGTGTACAACAATATTTTACTAGCCAGTTTGTTAGACCTATAATATTTAGTGACCTGTAGACATTGTACGATAGGTCTGTCTATCTGAAGAGGGTCCGTTACAGTTTTAAATTGATTTAATTGAAAGTTTTCTTTTTATGATGCCAAGTACCGAGACGAATAAGTCGTGTCAGTGCCATTCAGAACCTGAGACATAAGTTGACAAGTCCCACGTGCGTATAGTTTCACCAGCATAGCACCTTTACCTTTCAAAACCACAACGCTCATATTACTGTTCACAAGGAGCTCTAATGCTACTAAAGTCCTAAATTTTCCTGAATGTCATTTGATTTATAGGAACGGTAATTATATTTGAATAATTAATAATTGACGTGCTCATAGCCCCAAATATGAATTAAATTACGAGTGTGCAAATATTAGTTTCTCAAAGTATTTAGGTATTACTTAGTTTGAACAACATTAAAATTACTTACTAAATAATGGCTGACAAGTTCTTAGTACGATTTGTATAGGCTCAAGAACAGTTTTTTTACAGACCAAATTAAAGCTATTTGAAAAATGTATATCGTATAGTATATATACGTGTACTATTTAGTTCAGTTAATACAAAAAAAAATGGTATATGTAAAGTACCTATTGAAGACAACGGTTTTCTTGTAAAATTTCGAAGTTTGTGTTTTTTTGTCCATTGTGAAAATTTTTAGGAATCGTGTTTTCACGTCATGTAGTAATCAGTGTAAATCCTCAATTCCCTTCGGTACAATCGGTCTACATTCCCGGTCGGTCCACTTTCACTATTCGTCTACTTTCCCGATCGGTCCACTTGTCCAAATGGTCCACTTTCCCAATTCGTCTACTTTCCCGATCGGGCCACTTGATTTTACTATCTATATATTTTCCTCAGCGATTGATTCAACTCTTTCACTGTTATGCTGAATCATCTATAATAGCCATTTGAGGTAGCATAGACTCGTTAACGGTTGGTCCCCACTTACTTTTCAGAACTAATTTGTTCGTACCGTAAACCGTAAGTGACTACACTTGGTATCTTTTAAAAAAATATTATACATTTCAAGAAATAATTTATTGTATTATTCTTTATAGTCTTTTGTTCTCGTTTCTACATGAATATTCTTTTCAATTCCCGAAAGTCGGCTCGACCTACTCAAATAGCAAAGTCAATATTAATGCGACCATCGTGCGTCTAAAAATTTATCAGTATCTACCTAATTGTTCGTTCCAGTAAGGATTATTTTCATAAATATTCATATAGCGATGAATTTGTTTTTCCTGTTACGCTACATAAAAACAAAAAAAAGACAATGTATTAGGTACATAAATAAAACTTCACAAATAAAGATAAAGTGCTTTATTCATTACAGAATACATACAAAACATTAACAATTTCGTGAAGAAATCAAATGTACAAATTTTAAGCCGTAATAATGCTTAATTGACGCTTGAAATAAACGCTGTGACAATGTGCTGGAATTATATTAGACGACTAATGCGTAGAAGAAGAGCAATTGTTAGGAAAATAGCTTCGGTTACATTCGATGCCCTCTAACAACATGTCAGTTCCTTTAAGGCACACCCGGGTCAGGTGTAGGTTTCATGTAAGGTGTCGAAGTGCTTTCTTTCCAAGGCAAAACAAAGACGATCCATCTGATTTTGAACGAATTAGATTCTACTTCAGATCTTACAAACTCGTCAATAGAATCTTGTACAAAATCATACGTAAATTGCACAGGACATAGTTTTACTTCTCTACAATTGCTCTAATTCTGGCTCCGCATTTAAATAAATGACTATTTTACATTATCAGTCCTTACTTAATACCTAACAGATCACCTACGAAGAAAAATTTTGGATTAATGTACTTGTTGTATTTTAACAAATAAATAAGGTAACTTAAGGCCTAAAACTACGCGACAGTCGGCATGCCGTTTTTTTGGTACACATCTCAGACATTGGTGCTCCTTTTTATATAGTCGATCTACCGACGCCCTTTATCAAAAATACATAAGATTGTATACTGACAATTATTAACACATAATACGACGACGTAAGTACAAAGTGTTACAAAAGTAGTAACGTAATGATAATAACGTATATGAAAATACATAACGCACATCAAGTTAGCCATCATGATATTTGATGGAATCAATGACAACATGATCAAATTCACTACTTAAAATTGTTGTAGCAATCATTAAAATTTTTGCTGCAACATGCTACAAGGAAACAAGTTACATAATCACCTTCAATAACATCTTGTTTAATTCAATCATATTTGTTTAGTGTTCCTTGTCGGAAATTCTTACCACAATTTAAATACTCTTGCCGTTTTAATCATAACTAGAGATCGGAATAGAAATAATGTACAAAGAAATGGATGACTCCTTTCGAAAACCTCGGAATTATTTTATTGTATTCTGTTGCATATTTTTAATGTTGTGGCTCTTACTTTAGCATGGTAATATGTTTAGAAGAAAAAATTTGTAATTGTAAGTGTAAATATTTTTCTCAACATCATTCTATGTGTATTATTTAGATAAACAGATATCTGAATGTAATTAATCAATTTAATATGATTACGATGATGAGACAATTTATTTCCGAATGTGTCACGTTGTGTATTTTGTTACACATTAATTTAGTACTCATATCTCTTATACAGTAGAACTACCATAGCTCAGGACCTATAAGGCCCTGGGCAACAATTTCTAGAAGCGACAAATTTATGTACTTAAAAAGCGACCAAAACGTTTAGAGCGCGGCAGACTGTCAGCTATACTTCAGTACCTATCACGCAGTCTTACCCATGTCCTATATAACTGTCATGGCAGGGACTATTACTATGATTTTTGTAAAAATAGCGAAAATTTACCGGGCTCGCTACGCACGCCATAGTGCGCCTTCCTTCTTAAGTCTATCTGTTCAAGTCATAGTTTATTGAAATTCGCAAAAAGAGAACGAAAGTTCTTTTGCCGTCGCCTTATTGTTAAAACTGAATGCCGACTACTTTTGTGTTTTCACTCATATGCAAAAAATTCGATGCATCAACTTTTAAAACCTCATAAGTCCACTATGATTACATGGATAATTTTAAAACCTCACGTTTTCCCCTCTCATGTGAAATCGTAAAAAGCGGACAAGGTTTCAATGGTGAGGCGACGATACCTATTTTCGATCAATAATCAAATGTAGGAAAAGTGGCAATCCTAAATATGGTTCCAAATGGGTCTAATTATCGGACATTGTTAAGAGAAAGTTATAGCGAGCAGGTGTCACAATCAGAGGTAATCTATTTCATCCTATAACCATGTTCATCTTTGTTAGCGATCATGATCAATAGTTTACCCGTCTTTATTATAGTTAGAATGTCGGTATACAATCTTCGTATTGTAGTTAAATCAAGAGGACTAAACCGCATTGCCAGCACTGTGTACGTTGCCGTTGACGCTTAGTGGGATTGTATTGAATTCATCATCGATGTCGTCCGTTTTCCTGTTCAACAAAATATTTATGATTAATTACAAATATTAAACATTATTCAAAAAGATAACTATACAAAGTTATTTGTAAAATACTAATAACCCCGCAGGACTATTACTAACATTATAAACAACAACTTTTGTTCCATGGCTTTCACAAAATATAATAAATTTACCAAAAATAAACTTATTATCTTATAGTATTTTTACAAATAACCCTGTACATACAGATAAACGTTGATTTTAATCAAATTAGCCTATTATTAAATTCATTACTCAAAACGGTTGATGCAATCATTAAAATTCTTGCTACAACCATTGTGCTTGATGTTACAAGGAAACAAGTTACATAATCATACGACATCTTGTTTATTTCGATCACAGTGATTTTTCAATAATTCAATGAAAAAAAATTCTATGGATAAAATTAACTGAGCTTCACTACGTACATAAATTTATTTACTAAGTAGAAAAATGTTTTCCTTAACATACGGCGTAGGCTTAATATAAGCTAGATTAGACAGCGGACACGTCTAATTGATAGGCTTGTTAGGACTGTCCATTATTTTTTGTTTCAAGTAGAGGCAACCTCTTTAATTAAGTTACCATATTGATCCTTTTCTACAAAAACTTTTTGCTACTATAATTAATTTAACAAAGTCAAAATTACCTATACAGATTGTAGCGGAAATAATAAAATGGCATTGACTTGTTTTTGAATTTTTTAATTGATATTTTGTCTTTTATTATTTTTTTTTACAATTTATCTAGTGACGGGACGAACAAAATCGTACGCCTGATGGTAATCTACACGCCTGTCCATAACAGTAGCATTGCCACTCAGAGCTTTAAATCGAAAAGATTTAAACCTTTAAAAAGGCGCCCGTCACCCTGAGACATAAGTTGACAAGTCCCATGTGCTTGTAATTTCACCAGTATTCTTACCCTTAAAAACCGGAACACAGTAATGCTGACATTAATTTTCAGGTAAGTTTTTTGTACTCAATTTTGGTGACAATTTTTATTATTTAATTTCTCGAATATATATAATGTATCATTGTGAAATATTAAAGAATATTTCAGGTTACCACACTTGAATATTAAATAATACTTCATGATGATAGTCTATAAATATTTAAATAAAAAGAAACTGTCACCAAAATTGAGTACAAAAAAACTTACCTGAAAATTACCCATTACTGCTTGGCGGCAGAAATAGGTAATACTGCCCTGGACGAACTCTTTTACAAGGAGCTCTACTGCTACTAACATATCTTATTAAATTAAATGAAAAAAAATACAATTAATAATTATTATCGATATTCAAATCGAACACAGTACACCACTAACCACGAGTCTAGCCATAAATAGTATAACAGTTTTATTACAAAATCATAGCGATTTCTTATGTTTTCGCGATTGCTACATTACGAGTGAAGTCATTTTTGCCTTATCTAAATTACGTACGTTTGTTATTTCAAAAAAACCTACGCGTCGATCTGTTTACAAGTCGCATGGTCAGTCAATCGTGATAATCAATTGGAAAAAAGTAAAACAATATAATGAAAATGGCGTTATCAAATTATAAAATCATAATAATCAAACCTAAATACATCTGTGACCTAGCCTAAGAGCGCCTTCAAATAAGACGCTTATAAGAAGTATTGCAGTGGCGCTACTGTTGTACAGTTGTTGTAAATAAAAAAAAAATACAAATTTGTTGTAAAATTGAGCTGCACAGCCGCGTCACGCGCGCGCTACTTTCGCAAACTACTGAATCGCTAAGCGTCTAATTTGAAAGGGCCCTTAGAGAAATGTGAATGCAGAAGGCTTGGTCCACAAGATTTATTATAGAGATGATAAAAGAGGAAATGGAAAGCTGTAACAAACAATAAAATAATATAAAAAAAAGGTACAATTATTACAAAACACTCCATATAAAACTGAACAACACAATATGCGGTACGGTGTGCCAAAATATAGTCGATTTATATAATAATATAAATCGACGTGATGTTTAACAATAAGGAAATGAAGGTGATTAGTGATTTATGGGCACGTCTTCTCGTTTCAAGAATTTTGATGCGATTGACGATGGCTCGAACAAACGTAAGTATTGTAAAGGAAAAAGAAATTCGAGAACGATTCAAAAATTTTTAAAATAAGTGGCCAGTAACCAGAAAAGAGGATGATAGAAAGTTATAACGATGAAGGAGGTCAGCATCGAAATATATGGAAATTATTTTAAGCACTCAATCTAATCATTCTACCAATTTTAATATGAAGCTCTTATATAAATAAAAAGATAATAAAATATGAAGCATAACTTGTGCAATAAACATAACGATGCAAAATAGCACCTAGCAACTTTCAATAGTTGATGTTGCTCGACTTCAATCTTGCGGATATGATTGGATCCGGGCAGTGTTTTACAGTAATTCTATGAAATCAGATATTATTTTTTATTGCTTATAATCTCTTCGGCTGTAAAATACACTGTAATATTTATGCTCAGTAGCAGCAGTTGTAAAAAAATAAACAACATAAAATGTATTACGTGATGATCAAATGATCTCTCAAGAGAAGTGATCAATTAAACTCAATGTTTAGATATCGATAGAACATCGTTCTATTTTTTAAAGCATTATTTTTGCTCTAAATGATTAATTAGAATTTTTGTTTTCCAGATATTTCGGACCGGTTACTCGCTTCATAGTCACGGGTTGAGTCAACCGTGTAACCGCTTCGAAATATCGGGAAAACAAAAAACTCATACCGTGGTAAGAAACCTGTAATTTGTGATAATCATTTAGTGAACAACCATGAAAAAATCTATTTAGCTTAGCCTTTTTTGCTCTAACTCAGGTCTTATGTTTTGTACATAAGATCTTTGTCAGATACATAGACGAACAATAGATTTTCACTGCTACTTTCTGTTGGCCCAAAGCGAGGAGACGCGCGGGACTTGTGAGTTGCCCTTTAAATTGGAAGCTATGCCCGGACATGGTCGCAGGACACTGCGACCGGCATTTCCGGCACTAGCTCGGATAGCTAGTAGAGGACAAGCTAGATATCCTCCGCTCCTTCCAGCCGTTTCGGTTATTGAGAACGGGTGGGACTCCGTTTTTCGGCGTCTAAAAGTGAGCGTGCCTTACAGCTCCGCCATCAATGAGGAGATTTGGACGGCTTAGCGGTGACAACTGCTAGTTATACAATGCGCAACCGGAAGTGGGCGTACCTACAGCTCCAGCACCTATCTGGAAAATAGGGAGGGTACCGTACGCGCAACCGGGGCAACTCACCCGAGGCACTGGCCTCTAGAGAAGAAGTTATTGACAACGGTCTGTGACAACCCTGTATTCTGACTGAACTGGGAGCACAGGTTATAGTGCCTTCCCGCATAACCAAGAGGTTGATAGGCAATCATTATAAACAAAAGTTATGTAGAAAAGGTATGGGAGCTGCCCAGCTGCTTTCTGTTACACCTTGTATGTCATAATATTAACGAAACTTGTGTGAAAGTACGGTAATGAAGCAGATTATATTCATTTTGTCAGAAATTGACATAACGAATGAACCTTGTCAGTTAATCACAATTAACGCTAATGAAATGGAAATTAACTAAATTTTTCTTGACGAAACTCAAAAGTTATCGAGAAATAACATTTCTAAGTAATCTTTAATTACTAAAGAACTCAAACTAAGCTAATGAAATAAATTTGAACATGGGTACTGAAAAATAAAAGAATTTGTACACGTACAGACGCGGTTATATCTTTGGTTCGTTATTTGGTTCGTTATTTGGTTCGTTATTTGATTCGTTATTTGGTTCGTTATTTGGTTCGCTATTTGGTTCGTACTCGCGCTCGTCGTTTGGTTCGTGCTTTGGCACATTCTGTTGTTCGTTCTTTGGATCGCTCTCTGGTTCGTATATGATTTCAGCCGCACTAATATTAAAAAAGAAAATAAAATCATTGTGCATTGTATTAGGTAGAGACACTCAGAGCACGTTAAGCTTGACACTTTGTACTTTGGATCGATGGAAGGGGAATGGTCCGCCACCGCGGACAACCGCAGATGGGGCCGTGGATCGTCCACCACGTGACCACAGCCCCGTCCCATGCGGGATGTGGAATCGTGATCATAGGACCTGTAAAGGGCCCAAAACTTTGGTTTGTTTGAAAAAACAAATATACGCGATTTAAATCGAGAAAAATAGTTTCATTTCCTATACTATATGTTAAACACTAAAAAACTCGTAGGACTATATATATATATATATATATATATAGAGAGAGAGAGAGAGAGAGAGAGAGAGAGAGAACTAAAAATAAAATAAGTGACACAGTAATGTTCCGGTTTTGAAGACTTAAAGATGCTGGTGAAATTATAGGCACAATGGACTTGTCAACGGGCATAACGGCAGTACCCTTTAGATCTTTGCGATTTAATGCTCTGAGTAACTTTACAACTGCTATGGACAGCCATGTCGTTCGCCACCAGGCGCACAACTTGTAAGTCCCGTCACAAAATTAGAAGACTGACTTTGGATTTTCTACGATTTATTTGTACGAACCGCCATGAACAACGTACTATGGTAAGCCAAGATAATCACAGAGATTAAAAAAACAGAATTGACAACCTGTCTCTTTTAAGAAATATAAGTAGACATAAACGTTTACAACTCAATACCGCGCGTACATCGTCGGTGTTTATTAAAAAGGGTGAAAACGTCATTAAAAAAAATTCCGGGTTTAGTTTTTCACGATGGTTTTAATAAAATATTCACGTCCTGCTTTAAATTCAATATTAAAACTTAAACTTAATTAAAACCAAAATTGAATTTTAAAATAAGACGTAAATATTATCACGCTCCCTTGAAAAAAAATTCAAAATGGCGCTTTCGCCCTTTCTACAAAACACCGACGGCACGCAAATCGCGCTGCTACGCTTGTAGAGAGTTACCATATCTGTCGTTGTCGGGGTACTACAAAAAATTAACCATATAAAACAAAAGACGAGTATGAAAATGTTGATGTATGTACATTTGGAGAAGAGAAATTCGTCTCTAGGTGGAATTTGGTAAAGATATTTTTGACAAGAACCAAATGTTAAAACAACAGTAACCAATATCAACGTACCGTTTCCTGTACTTATAAATAATAAGAACGATGAACGCGTTCCCGATGAACAAGGCCGCTATCAGCAGCGACGGGATCACGATGTCTGAAAGAGATGAATGGCATTAATGTTCTGTGTAAAAGAAAGAGATAACGCAATGAGTGACAACCAAACGTGATAAGGTCATTCGGTTTCAACTTTTGGTACCTACAATGCTGCTTTATCACTTACGTACAAGGTCGAATATTGAAACTATATATAAGAAATCGTACTCTCAATAATAAAATGGCGCAATTCAAAAACTGACATTTTTGGGAAACCGACTAAATAAATAAAATAAATCTAAAGTAAAATAGAACTAATACATCGTTATTCATATTAAATAGACTTTTACATATTTGGTACCAGACAAAAAATGCCAAACCGTCGCCTTACTTTCTGAAACTCGTATCTTATAAAGAGTGATTATTCAGGAGATGGAAACCTATTTATTTTAAATTCTTTTTCAAGGATGTTGATGTGAAATGTTTGATGAAAAATGTTTGATGTGAAATTAGCCTGCAAAATTTGTATATACAATCCATTTTTTGCATTTCAGTAATTTTGTATATTCTAAATATTTATTATTCTCTATTGTAAACTATGTATATTTATTGTTAACTTAGTAAATTTGTATATATATCGTCGCCTCAAACTCGTATCTTAAAGTACAGTAAACTCGTATGTAATGTAGCGTAATGTAGCTGTAGCCACGTACGTAAGTTTTTATCAGTGTCCCAGAAACTACTTACTTATCGAATATCACTTTATTAAAGTAAAACAATAAATTTATCTTATTATTTTAATCTAATTCTGTTTATGTATAGCTAGGACATGTATAGATGGCAGATAGTTAAGATATCGATAAGAATAATATCAGAAAATATAACGAAGTTTAATAAAAATAAAGAATCGTTAAGTTTTAGCAATTGTTTCGCGAATTTTTTTTCTGTTCTAAATCGTATTTCCACTCAGTCAGTCAGTCAGCCTTGATCATAGGATCTGCATAGACCCTGAACCTTTGATTCATTTGAAAAAACAAATGAACGATTTGAATCCAAAAAAATGTTTCATTTGCGATAAAAACAAAGAGGTTGTTGAATTAAGGTAAATCTTCTATAATTTCATTACAACTTTTTAGCCTCTTCTACGTTGTTATAGTAATAATAATAAATACTAAAGACTAGCATATAAAATGTAATTCTTTCGTCTAGTTCAATCATTGTATAAATCAAATAAAACATTTAAATGGATGAAAATATGTTTTTTTTTTTCTAATAATGTTTTTCCATTACCCAACATTAAGCGTAAATGTGTGTGTGTAGTCAGATTTATGTGAATATAACGAAGCAAATTCGTTTTTTTTTGTTCATGACAATGATATCGTTCTTTTGTAAATTTATTTATGGTAATAAATGTCCTCCCTGCTTACTACCTACGTAATCATCATGTATTCCACCCAAGGACGTCCATTCACAACCTGAAGTGCGCACCACGAACAACAATTACAAAATGGTGTGCGCATGAAAAACAGCCGGGAACGGAATTTCGTAATTCGAAGCGCGCAGCGTGCGCGTGTACCGTACACAGATAGATGTTCGTGTCGCGTTATAATGTAATCTAGTAATCTGTACCAAACTTATTATCTCTGTAATTTGTTACACTATATTATATAACAAACCCACACCAATACTATCAACCCCTCCAAGGTGCCTCGTAAAACACAAAACTATTTATTGTAGGACGGATCGATATGGGCTGTTGAGGTTTAATAATCATGGAAGCAGCTCTCAGTTGCTACACAGACAAGAGAGGATGCACTCATTTAATACTGTAGTCAGAGAGACGTGGGATGTGGAGTTGAAGGAGACAATTAAAGCAAAGGTCAATAGGGATTTAAACTATGTGGTTAAATTACCAACATGTGGTGTTCATTCTTTGACATCAAATTATTTTGTCAATATAGATGTAGATTATTTCTATACGATCATTTCGTTAAGATACATCTTATACGTTACATCAAATGCGTGATCTTTTAAATGTCTTTTAACTTTTAACTAACAGTTCTACTCGTACTTGGCCCGTTTAACTATTTACTGGGTTATTAATTTATTTATTACATTCGCCAAGAGAAATACACTAAAACACTGCAGAAATTACTCGAGTGTAAACCCAATAACAGGCAAATACAGCATTCAGATATAACATCGTATCAGAAGCGTTTACCGTTTGTTATATATTACAGACAAACAAATAGATATAATTGTAAACAATTCTAAGTCTGAGCAGTTATATAATAAACTTTTAAATCGATATAATGAGAACGAAAACAAATTCAAATTATTTACTGTACTCTCGGTAGATTCGTATCATAATAGCATTGGAGCCAACATTTTAGTTCTGCACCGTTTGGTATTAAAACGTCGATTAATTACTTTGCCACTATTACTTAGTGGAAAAGACAAATTTAAGGTTAAATGATAATAAAGTTGGCGTTTTGACAATATTGTTCATTTGGTGCTACACTGACGCAATTAACCCCGTTTACACAGTCACTCTATAGCGTGTGATCAGCAGGCCTAGCACGAAATGGCGCTATTTGTGCGAGAGCGACATAAAGTGCGAGATCTCTATGCGAGAATAGCAGTATCTCGCGTTTTATGTCGCTTTCGCGCAAGTCGTGCCCTATTGTGGTAGCCCTACAGGAGCGTGTAGGATAACTCGCGAAAAAGCCTGCACATGCAATCTTGTTCGATTACCTGTTTCCAACCTTTAAACTAACGTACTTTCGCGCGCGATTGCACGTGTTCGCTTATGTTACAACGTCAAGAGCGTCCGTGTAAAGGCTAATAGCGCTGGATATACCGCGTGAAACTGGCGGGTGTTGGAGTGTGCCACTGATGAGCACAATCGAGCGGTCATTACCTTTTCCTTCCAAAGTGTTAACACGCGCGCTCATTCCCGCGCGATTGCTGCATCACGCGCGATAGTGTCTGTTTAAAGCCCGCTAATATGCTTCTTGTAATGTTACAGGAAATAGATTAGAATTATTAGCATTTTTACAATACATATAAATTTAAAATTGCTGCCAATTTTTCTTTAAACATGTTAGTTGTAACATAGTATTTGTGTGTAGATGTGTTAACATACTGAATTCAATTTTGCAACTAATAACACAAATAATTAAAAACGTTTTTTTTTAATTATATTGATAACCAAGATACAAGTACTACACTATAGGGCCTTAAAGACGACTGCCTAAACTGCCTCCGTGGCCGAACGGATACCATGCCGGACTGCCACCCAGAGGTCCCAGGTTAGATTCTAGGGCCGGGAGAAACATTTGTGTGGCTTACATTTATTTCTCTCGTGAGTTTGGGTGTAATTTGTGGTTGTCTACGCGACTCAGGGTTTCTCTAGTGCGGGACTATGTTGAGTGTGTGCGTTATTATTATTATTATAACTTCGCGCTATAAAAAAAAACACAAAATTACACAAAATGATATTTTTTTTACGTTCATCCACGGAAGAATCAGTTTCATTCGGTTGGTACTAGAGATACTATAATGAATTTTCTCTCCCATGTTCCGTAACAAATACATCAGGGTACTATGAGCTTATTTTACATTCAGAGATCATATTTTATTCCTAAAAAGCAAATGTTTAATTATCGTGTAATGAATTTCTCCGTGTCTACCTCACACGCATCAAACCCTACGCAACTATAATACCATTTCCCCTTAAAAGAGGCGAAACTACCTCAGCTCGAATTCAATTTTTTCCCGTACTTAGACGGTCATTTTGCTCAGGTTCTAGCTGAAGGCTTTATTTCAGAATTTATCTTTCTACAAACGAAATTAAATCTATTTGAAAAATGTATATCGTATAGTATACGTGTTCAATTTAGTTCAGTTGATATAAAAAAAATCATTGGTGTATGTAAAATACCTAGGTACTGAACACAGCGGTTTTCTTGTAAAATGTAGAGGTAATTTTGTGTTTCTTTTCCACCGTGAAATTTTTAAGAATCGTGTTTTCACACCGTACAGTACAATATACATTACAATATACAGTACAATATACAAGTACAATATACATTTACTTATTATATGTACTTTTTCCCAAGCGATTAATTCAACACTTTCGCTGTTATGCAGAATCAACCAAACCAATTTGAGGTTGTATAGACTCTTAACACCGCACAACTCGAGACTTGCAATTATAACAAGGTTTTTATCTACATTCAAAGCAAACAAAATTTAATTGGTGCTTGATTAGCGACAGTTTAAGTCAGGTAGCCCACGATAAACACTAACCTTAAGTTAGAGAATAATTAAGTGGAACTAAAGTTTTTATTGAGCATGAATTAAACTGACGGGTACCAGCTTCAGGCTGGTTAATGTTCCCAAACAATAGTACACATACAGATGCATTTAGCGGAACAAAAAGTAAGAATATAAAATAGTAACGTTAATATTTCAATTTAAATAAAAATTAGACATGTCTATAGTAGAGTACCACATAGAATTTATATATTTTTTCTATAAACATACGATGAAAATGGCATAATATTTTTTTTATTATAAAAAGGTTAGCCAATGTTAAATTAGACGAGTGTCACAAAAAAGTCGATTAACCCGTTTATTAATACAATTTTATTTCTTTTTCGTTCAAGGAAAACACAGGTAATACGACTGACACGTACAAAATAAATATAGTTGCACTGTGTCCGGCCATACATTACGCATACAAATATTGATTATACATTCACTCACATGCACTTCGACAGACTAAACCAGGTGTAAGATTTTTTTTTAATATCACATGTGCTTACACATACGGGTTTAATAAGTAGTCAGTAGTTTAAATGCGGTGATAGTTTTAAATATATCTTAAGTTCGCCTCTGTGCTTGCTATAAATTTGTGAAATTAAGGGTCTATACTACCGAAATGGTTTTGGTTCTCTCCGCATAACAGTGCAAGTGTTGAATCAACCACTTTGGAAAAAATATATAGTAAAATTTAGTATATACACTGGTTAGTACGTATACGGTGTGAAAAAACGACTGCTAAAAATTTTCACGATGATAAAAAAACACAAACTTAACTCGAAATTTTACAAGAAAACCGCTGTATTCAATAGGTACTGTACATATACCGATGATTTGTTTTTAATATCAAATGAAGTAAACAGAACACGTACAACACACATTCAATACACATTTTTCAAATGATTTTAATTTCGTTTGTAGCAAAATAAAAACTCTGAAATAAAGACAGCATCCCCGTCACTCGACCTAAGCAAAGTGAACCGTATAAAAACGGAAAAAATTTGAATGCAAGCTGAGGTAATTCCAATTCTTAAATCAAACAGAAATAAACGTGCAAAAAGTTAAATTTCATGGTCCTCCTTTTATTTAAGAAAACAATCCTTATGATTGAGGCTTTCGATCAGTATAGTAAAATTACAGGCGTGTTTTTTTTTCACATTATTTTTGCGGATTCGGTTCCCGATTCAGAGTCGATTCAGACAGGATATAATATAAAATTCTTTAAATGCAGTTCAAACAGTTTTTTAAATCAAACTGAAACCGTGTTTCTGTAAAATTTTCTTTCTACAGTATTTAAGGTACAAATAAATAAATTATAATTGTGATAAAAAAAATTAAAATTTAAAACTGTTTATCACAAATATTAATAACAAGTTACAGTACATTCAAGGTAGAATCTTAAAATTAAAGATTATTTATCCTTTTCTAGTGAGTTGCGTTAATATGTAAGGTACAACAATTAAATCAATGACCAGTTTGTGTATGCCTCCTCTGATATTGATCTTTCATATAAAATCTTTTTAATTTGTTTTTTACTTGTATAGGATTTTTATCTGTTATTTCATTTATAAGATTTTTAATGAATTATGGTACTTTGCCTCCGTGTGGCATTGCCGCGAGACTCCCTGCATATTAACAAAAAATAACAAGTTAAAGTTATTATAAAAGACAGTCATAGTACCAAGACACCTTCACATTAAAGCTATTACCTTAACTTCAGTTGTAGAACTCTTGAACGTGAGTTAGTCGTAATTGCTTTAAGCCTTGTTAACTTTGTAGTTTAATAAGAACGAATAGTTAAACTTGCACTTAACTATTAAACGCTCGTTATCTGTTAAATTGTTCTCTATGATAAATGATAACTGAGAATATAACTTAAATAAATTCTTTTTATCTTAGGAAATGAAACTATTTTTCCGGACCTATATCGCGTATATTTGTTTTTTCGAACAAACCGACGTTTCGGGCCTTTTACAGGTCCCATGGTCACAGTCAACCGTGACAAATATACGCGATTTAAATCCGGAAAAATACTTTCATTTCCTATATGTAACAATCGCGAAAGTCTAAGAACGTTTTTATCTTTTTCAAACGAATTCTTATCTGCAAGAACATAATGTCTGGTGTTTTTTTTTTGCGCATCTTACAAATAACTCATAAGACGTTTATTTTATGGACTAACTCACGTAATAGAAGTTTTAATTTATCTGGTCACCCTGCTACTTAGTCCACTAGAATAGTATAGAAAGCGTTCAGGAAAGAGCTCTCAGATGTTTGGTTACAAATCGTTAAAAGCGAAAGCGCCATTTCGAAAAAAATTTAACGGGAGCATGTTTTAAGTTTACACAACTATTTTAAAATATTTACATCCACATTTAAATTCAATTTTAAACCTTGGACTTAGTTACAACCAAAATTGAATTGGAAAACAGGATATAAATATTTTAAAATAGTCATTAAAACATAAAACACGCCCTGAATTTTTTTTCAAAATGGCGCTTTCGCCATTTTGACAAAACACCGACGAAATGTGGTTACGGTCGCAGTCTCGTTGAATATAGTGAAAGGTGTAACAAATTTAAAGATTGTTCGCCGTAAAATATAGAACCTTATTTGCTTGCATAAGATTCTTCATGGCGAGATTGACTCTTCTTACCTTTTAAACAAAATAAATATCTGCACAAGGCGTAATCCTCGAATACCTAGCAAATCATTTTACTTGTGAACGTATAAGAATAACACTTCCTTTTATAATCCCCTCAAAAGAATGTGGCTTTACAACGAGATATATGTGAAAAATTCCGGTTTGGATATTTTTGACTCAAGATATGGAATATTTAAATGAGTAGTTACTCGCCTAGTATTTACCCAAACCCATGTCGCTTTTGTATTTAGTAAATAAGTATATTAATTAAGTAGTAAGTAGAAAAATAAAACAATTTTACCCGGATTTAAACAGCGTATATTTGTTTTTTCAAACAAACCTTCGTTTCGGCCATTTGCAGGTGCCATATCGTGTATATTGGTTTATTTGAAAAACCAATATACACGATTTAAATCCGGAAAAATAATTTCATTTTAGATCTGTCTTGTTACTTTATAATAATGAATCAACATAAGTAGGATTACAATCTGTAGGGCTAGCACGATGGCCGCGGAGCGGGTGCGCGAGGATGCGGCGGACGCACACCCGCTCCGGCGCAGACGTACGGGGAGAAGGCGAAGGCAGTTCGCTGCTCGCCTGATGCCCTAGTGAGACCAGCGGGCTCTGGACAGGGACTCCGGAGCCTGCATTGCACGGCCTCACTCGTCTGGGGGCGGGTCGGAGGACAACCAACAGGGGTATCCATAAAGATTTCCCCCCAGTCAAAAAAAAAAGGGCTAGCACGATAACTACTACTAAGAAACTTGGGCGAGGCCAAGATAAAGTGCGAGATTTCTATGCGAGAATAACAGTATCTCGCGTTTTATGTCGCTCTCGCGCAAATCGCGCCCCTTCTTGTTAACCCTACTGGTACAGAACTTTCAATATCATATTTAACTCTTATCAATGTAATTTGATTGTTATCTGTTTTGTTGTCCATAAAAATAAATAAATAAATTTATTAATTAACTAATGTACGAACAAAACCATAACATGACCAAATGTGTGTTGTACAAATTAAATTTTGTACCCTTTAAATTTAATATTTAATATTTATTTATATTTAATAAATTGTACAATGGATCCCTCATGAAAGACTGGCATAAATGGAGTTACGTCAAAAGTGCTTATTGTTCCATTAGATACAGAAAAATATAACCCACTCCTCTCCAATTCTAACTCTACCTACAATATTCGTCGATTCGGTGCGTACATTCGCACATTTAAGTGTATGTGGAATTGAACATGTTAAAAAAGAAGTTTATAAATAAAAGCATTAGCGTGTTTCTGCGTTGCGGCCTTGAGCACAATATATTTGTTTTGTGTTATATTGTACACTTACCGACTAACATGCTTGACTCGTTAGGGGGCAGCTTAGTGTCGTTCCCGACGGCTTGTCTAGCCGCCTCCTCTGTAACAAAATAACATTTGAACTCACGTATTCCAATATGTCGCGCCATGACCGCCGACTTATCGTCAGCGACCTTTTTACCTTAACAGCGTTTTTTATTGCAAATTATACTTTAAACTATAATGGACAATTTTTCCGCCAAAATAACATCAAATTGAAATTATAGCAAAAGCTAAGTTTTTCGTTACCTCAACTTTTTTTAAATATTTTAGTGTAACCGACAGAATCAATATTAAACAATCATAACGTAAGCGACTCCACATGTTATCACAACCGACATAGTAAATTACTATTTCGCCGTTTACTATTAACAAAGTGGCAAAAAACGTATTGCACCTTGTTGCATATTTTTAATCGCAAGTGTTAACTTCAACGCCTGAAAGCCTCAAAGTCTTTATACAGAGATGGCATTATATATTGTAAGCGCCAAAAAAGGCTTAACACTTTACTTTTTTTTTTAAATTAGCCGTTACAGTCTTGACGACGAAATTAATTATTACACATATAATTAAAATTCTATTTGGTATCGCATATTTAAATATAAAAATATTAAAAAACTCTCTCCTGTAAAATGTGTCCTTTGTTTTGTTAGTTCCGACACAAAGAGTCGTAACTAAAAATTTTACGCTAATGCTAATAATTTTAATGCTATCAATGCACGAAATCCGCATTTACGGCCACTGTCAAAATATATTTCAAGTTGATGAATTTGTAAAAAAAAGACAGGAGTCTACGCAAAACAGAAATTATTGGCACGTGGCCTACGAAACAAAAAGTTTGGGATATTGTTATTATTATTGTCTAAAAATGCCTATTCACTAATAACCTTGAAGAGCCGTAAATTGTGGCGTTTTGTGTACTCCATTCTTTTGACGTATGTATAAGAAAACACATTTGAACCCGATTTTACACGTTCTTTTTTTGCAATCAATAAAAGTGACCTCAAAAATTCGTATTATAAATTGTACAGAAATGTCCCTCCAATACACACGAACACATTTGAAACCGACTTTACACGTGCTTTTTTGCAATAAATAAAAGTGGCCTTGAAATTCGTATTATAAATTGTACAGAAATGTCCCATCCAATACACATGAACACATTTGAAACCGATTTTACGCGTTCTTTTTTGCAATAAATTAAAGTGACCTTGAAATTCGTACTATAAATTGTACACGAATACATTCGAACCCGATTTTATACATTCTTTTTCTGCAACAGATAAATGGTGTTGAAAGTAAAAACCATTTCGTTTACTTAGGCAAATGATAATATAAAATGTCGAATGTGTATTCGGTTATATAAATAGCGCGCGGTTTTCCTTCGTATAGGTATTCGGTAAATATGACTAAGCGGTTCGGGGAAAAAGGAGTTTTCCAACGACTCCAAAATTGTTACAAACCTCGATTTACACAAAAAAAATTGTATTATTAGCTTTGTTTTACTTTTCTGTATGTAAATTTTCATTACTATCCCGTTGTTACATCAGCTTTTTTGAATTTGAATTTGAACAGCTCGTTACGACTCTTTCGTTGTTCTATAAAATGAAAAAATTAAGGTATAATCCTCTTAAAATACCAAAGTCATGAAAAAATCCTATTAAAAATATAATCCGTTTACATTAAAGTCGCAAAAGTTTTTAAAAATATTTTCAACAATATAATAAGCTTGGAATTGGCTTAAAAGGTAATCGCAATTTCACTTAAAGCTTACAAGAACATACTCGGTCTATGAGAGATAAATACAAGCTGTGTTGTAAGCTTGTCCACGAGAGATTTTAAAATTAAAGTCAAATATGAAAAGGTGGATATTTAAAAAAGTAAGCTGACGTGGAACCGACTCGTGCTGATCATGTTTTGTCACACTGTTCATTGGTAACGTATGGATGCGAAAGAAAATTCGCTCGAAGCCGATACGTTGATATTCGACAGCGCGTTGTCTTAGCCGAAGCAAAACACACTACAAACAAATCCTTTTCACTCTTATCGCATGTACATAAAGCTTTTTCTGACCTTACTCCCTAAGACCCTTCGCCACTGTAACATTTGGACATCCCTTACATTTAAGAAAACATTAATTCGTGAGTTCAAACAATATTAGTCTACAACACTTATAACAAACGACCTCTGTAGTCACGCTGTTAGCACTATTATTACACCGTTTGATGAGGAAATCCCGGATTCGATCCCGAATAGAACCAAAGTTAGGAAAGTTCGTTTCGTTTCGTTCTACCTTACAAACAAACGAGAAGCCACTTGATCGTCTCCCATGGCCATTTGCAACATCAGAGGAACTGCCTATGCGTTGTCGGCCTTTGTAAGCCCTGTTGACTCGCTTTTTGAAGAAAGGAGATTATTCCACATCTTGCATCAGGCATCGAGGATATGGGGATGGGCTCTACTCCTTTGGCATGAGGTGCGATGATGGAAATGTGACGGTGGCACCAGTTCGAAAAGTTTCTCTAAGCACTCCCCATTATAAAGACGGTTCAACGTAATATACAGAGAGCCACGTCTCTGAGCCGTGAGGCTAAGGGACTCCGAACCGTTTGTGAGAGTGGGATCATGAACATCATGCGTTGGAGTCAAGTGCATCAAGCTAGTATTTGGGACATAGAGAACTGAGATGCGACAACACTCCATATATGTTCTGGTCTGGGATTGGTTCTGGTATAGGAATTCCTTTTTTTTTATAATACTAAGTGATGGGACGACCAAGTCGTGCGCATGGTGGCAATCGACACGCCTATCCATAACAGTTGCAGTGCCACTCAAGAGATTTAAATCGCAAAGATCTTATAGGCACTGTCACTACGCCTGTCACTATGAGACTTAGGTTGACAAATCCCATGTGCCTATAATTTCACCAGCACCCTCACCCTTCTAAACCGGAATGCAGTAATGCTCACATTACTGCTTGGCGGCAGAAATAGGTAAGGTAGTATTTCCTTGGACGAACTCTTTTACAAGGAGTTCTACTGCTACTAAATAAATAAATAAATAACGCACACACTCAACATAGCCCCGCACTAGGGAAACCCTGTGTCGCGGGTGCCATGGACACACACATAGACAACCACAAATTACACCCAAACTCACGAGAGAAATAAATGTAAGCCATACAAACATTTCTCCCGGGAATCGAACCTGGGACCTCTGCGTGGCAGTCCGGCATGGTAACCATTCGGCCACAGAGGCAGTTAAACTAAAATACTACTACTGATACCATAGGTATTTCTTTAGTTTGAGACCAAATTATCGTTTTTTTTGTTTGGAAAAACTAGCCATAGTCATCACCATGATCATCCACATGTACCTATCCCGTAATATGTGCCATCCACCAAGATCTTATCCCATTGTCGCCCATCTATGGCTCGCTACTTTGGCTATGTCGTCTACCCAACTAGCTGACATAACCGTAATAATATAAAATATATCTAACCAAAATCACATTAAACAATAACTGCAAGGTCTAACTTGAAACGGTTAAATATTATCTGATGTAAACCTGCCTCCACAAACGAATATTATTACGCTACCGGTATTTATTATGTGGACGATAATTAGGTGAATTTTTGATAACAACGACAGTTTAAACATGTCAAATGAATCCATGTGTTTGTTATAAAGCCGAAACGATCTGACATGGTCACACGGACTGATGATGGTCGGTTTCGATGATTTTAACAGGTTGATCAGACAAATTGTTATTTTTTCTTATATATCATTGCGCAGCGAAATAGTTTTCTCGCGTCAACATCAGACACAACAAACATATAAATTCTCGTAAAACATAGCCGTAAGCTGTTTTATTCTATCAGGTCAATCTCGTAGACGATCAAACTAAACAAATACAACAAACCACAACAAACCGCCTGATCGTCTCGGAAGCTCTTTAAGTAGAACTTTATGTATCAGTAAACTTAAAATCTCATGTCCCATAGTCGGCAACGCATTTTTGCTTTTATGGATAGTATGTACATAGTGTCGCAAATGTCTAAACCTGGCGGCTACCACTTTTTATAATATAAAATGATGGGACAAAGAAGTCTCAAGAGTAAGTGACGTGCAGAGCTTTAAATCGCAAAGATCTGGGGAGGACTGCCACTGCACCCGTACTGAGACATAATATTGACAAGTCCCATGTGCCTGTAATTTCACCAACACCCCAAACTTTCAAAACCGGGACGTAGGAGGTAATACTGACATTGCAGTACTTCTCTGCAGTGCTAGTACGACAGGACGCGACTTGCTCGAGGAGTGACATAGAAGCGCGACATATTGCTATTCTGGCGCGTCCATGTCGCTTCTGGCGCCGCTAGACTCATTCATAATTCTTTAAACAGAATAGATAAAATAAAAATAATTCGCCAATCACTTTCATATAATGGTGCTACATTTTTCAAAAAGTGATCGTATAAATTTGAAATACCTACAAACAACTTCAGCAAAAAAGTAATTACAAAATTCGCAAAATATAATATTGATTCCACGTACAAAATGCGCACGGTCAATTGGATGTTCAATTAAAATTTGGTTATCTCGTATACAATCACCAGGTGAATTATGATTGCACCTTTTTGTTTCAGGTCGTAATTATTAAAACAGCGATAAAATTCACAACAAAGGTATTCATTATTGCTGTTTTAATATCACCACCACATATATCTTAATCACATACGTACAAGCGTAAGCGGCTTTGATAGAAGAGCTATTAAACTCAGAGAAGCAATAAACGTCAATGTACACTTTTATTGTACCCAAGTGTACGAGAGTCCTCGAACCGTCAAACGAGGTTGAATCTTTTATTCAGTGACTCCTTTTAATTTCACACATTTTGTACGTGCCTACGCTGTTATTATAATTGGTTATTATCTGACGACCTCAAGTTTGTACAGTACCGATGAGATACCTGGTAGGTCCAATTTGAGAAATGAACTTTCCTAAACTGGTTTTGTTCTGGGTGTTCTGGGTAGTTCCCCGCAGTGAATTCCTTTGCTA